CAGAAAGCGCCTACATGGCGCCTACGTGGCATGTACGTGTTCGCCACGTAGAATACACGTGGCATTAATAATAAAAAATTAAAACAAAATTGGAAAAAATGTAAAACAAATGTGAAAAAAATATAAAAAAATGTAAATATTGTAAAAAATATAAAATTGTAAAACATTTTCAAAAAATGTAAAAATTATAAAAACTGTAAAAAATTGTAAAAAAAATGCAAAAAATTATAAAAAATTGTAAAAAAAAATGTAAAATTGTAGAAAAATGTAAAACATTTTCATAAAATGTTAAAAAATTGTAAAACAAATTGTAAAAAATTATAAATTTTTAATTTGTTTTTAAAAAAAGGGAAATTTCCAAAAAACAATCATCCAATTACGAGATAACTATCAAATTCATCACGAACTTTACAATTTTATATTTGTTACAATTTTTACAATTTTTGGAAATGTTTTGCAATTTTACATTTTTTACAATTTTTATAATTTTTTGCAATATTTTTTACAATTTTTATAATTTTTACATTTTTTGAATTTTTTTTACAATTTTTACATTTTTTTAAATTTTTTCACATTTTTATATTTTTTTTTACATTTTTATCAATTTTTTTAATTTTTTTATTATTAACGCCATGTGTATCCTACGTGGCGAACACGTACATGCCACGTAGGCGCCATGTAGGCGCTTTCTGCCTATGTGGTAAAATTAATTCTGTTGCGATGAGGATTTTGGTAAAATTTAAATTTTGAATGATGTTTTAGAAAAAAAAATCAAATTCATTATGAATTTGGAAATTTTAAAAGTTCGTGATGAATGTGATAGTTATCTCATAATTGGATGATTTTTTTGAGAATTTCCCTTATTTTTATTGACTAAACCTTGAGTTCTTATGAAGTGTAGATCAATATATATATATATATATATATATATATATATATATATTCCTGAGCAATTGGGTGAAAAATTGTCACACATATCACATTATGAGAATAGTTTCCGTTTAGGATGACATTTATTACATAACAAAATAAAAACATATGTATTCAAATGATCGTGAATAATTACAATGTATAAAATCGCCATTAAATATTTCTAAAATATCCAGAAGATTTAAATAATTTGTGCCATTATAGCATAAGACCGTTTAACAAATTTAATTAATGTTTCAAGATTTCAAAACTTAAAATGTTAGAAAAGACTATATAATAATGGCACAAATTATTTAAATCTTCTGGATATTTTAGAAATATTTAATGGCGATTTTATACATTGTAATTATTCACGATCATTTGAATACATATGTTTTTATTTTGTTATGTAATAAATGTCATCCTAAACGGAAACTATTCTCATAATGTGATATGTGTGACAATTTTTCACCCAATTGCTCAGGAATATATATATATATATATATATATATATATATATATATTGATCTACACTTCATAAGAACTCAAGGTTTAGTCAATAAAAATAAGGGAAATTCTCAAAAAAATCATCCAATTATGAGATAACTATCACATTCATCACGAACTTTTAAAATTTCCAAATTCATAATGAATTTGATTTTTTTTTCTAAAACATCATTCAAAATTTAAATTTTACCAAAATCCTCATCGCAACAGAATTAATTTTACCACATAGGCAGAAAGCGCCTACATGGCGCCTACGTGGCATGTACGTGTTCGCCACGTAGGATACACATGGCGTTAATAATAAAAAAATTAAAAAAATTGATAAAAATGTAAAAAAAAATATAAAAATGTGAAAAAATTTAAAAAAATGTAAAAATTGTAAAAAAAATTCAAAAAATGTAAAAATTATAAAAATTGTAAAAAATATTGCAAAAAATTATAAAAATTGTAATTACAATTTTTTATAATTTTTTGCATTTTTTTTACAATTTTTTTACAGTTTTTATAATTTTTACATTTTTTGAAAATGTTTTACAATTTTATATTTTTTACAATTTTTACATTTTTTTGTAATTTTTTCACATTTTTTATAATTTGTTTTACATTTTTTCCAATTTTGTTTTAATTTTTTATTATTAATGCCACGTGTATTCTACGTGGCGAACACGTACATGCCACGTAGGCGCCATGTAGGCGCTTTCTGTCTACGTGGCAAAATTAATTCTGTTCCGGTGAGGATTTTGTTAAAATTTAAATTTCGAATGATTTTTTGGAGAAAAATTTCAAATCCAGTATGAATTTGGAAATTTTGAAAGTTCGTGATGAATGTGATAGTTATCTCATAATTGGATGATTTTTTTGGGAATTTCCCTATTCAACATAGCTTGTGTTAAGAAGTGAAAAGGTGTATGTATATGTATGTATGTGTGTATATATATATATATGTTGGGGTAAAGACACAACAATGACTTGGATCATGATCATTTGAATTTAATAAAAAAGATACACATTAATAAAAATGATAAACAATATTAATGGACTCAAAATTACGAATTTTAATTGATAACATGACAATGACATATTAATCCAACGTCAACATCAACATCACATTACTACTATGTTTATAATAAATGAAATATTATTCTATAAATTTTGACATATTGGAGCAATATTAATAAGACGGTGGTGGATGACAGTCGTCTTTTCCTTCAGGGATGTTGGTGCAATTGTTTGAGCCGGACCCAGGGCTCGAACCACTTTGGAGTCTGCGGAATACGAGCCCGCGGTTCTCACGAGCGATGGGTCGGACCGATCTCTCTGGCCTCCCACACTCGACGACTTCAGTTGAACACGAAAAAATTGCGAGAAGGACAATTAAAATGACTCCGAAGATCACTTGCTTCTTCATGTTGTCAGATGTTGTAGGACAGTTCAAGATTTGTTTTCCTGATTCAAATCGAGTGTGGTAAATGTCTATATATAATATTTTCTAATTTTTTTCTTATGTTAATATGATTTCTACATTTATTTTTTAAAAGAAAATCTAAAATAGATATTTCTTTAAATATTATAAACCCAATTTTATTATAATTTTAAATTTTAAATCCATCAAATATCTCTCCCATTTAAAAGAAAATATGTCATAGACATTTTTCTTTTAGACATTCACTTTGATATTATCTTGTTACATTTATACCTTGAAAGTATTTTAAATCCACTAAATAATCTCATTTAAAATAAAATATGTAACATATGTTTTTTAGATATTTTAAATCCTACTTTGATATAAGTTTTACAATGTTTTAAATTCACTTGATATCTCTATCCTTTATTAGGAAATATATCATTACAAAACTATATTAACTGAAAAATTTATATATTTGATATTTTCAATTCATACATGTTAAATATATAAATATATAGATCCTCTCTCTACATTGTTTAAATGGGCCAGTGGATGGGTTGGAACCATGATGAGCCCAACCCATTTTGTTCCTATTAAATTTGGAATGATATGAGCTTTCACGTTGTGTTTCCATTTCAAAATTCAAACAAAGGTCCGAATCCGAACAACGCAAAGCCCAACTCTGTTCGGTTCTCGAAAACCGAACCGGTTGAACCAAAAAAGGATACCATTCTCGAAGAACCCGAGAATCGAATTGAACCAAAATAAATATTAAAAAATACGAAAAAACCGAAAATTTTTAATATCTTTAATCAGATCAAATCAAACTGAACCAAATTAAATGTAATATAATAACCGGCTGAGATTAAAAAAATATATATTAACTGAGAAATCTGAACCGAATCGAAAACCTGAAAGGTCTTTGTTTTCATGTTTGAACAGTGACCCTGAGTCACATCCGTTAAATGTGAAATTGGATAGATTTTCTCGCCGTCAAATGTCAGTTTTTGGCTCCGACATCGTCGCTCTGTTTCTTTCAGGTTCCGCCATGAACTGAAGGGCGATCAACGGAAACAACTCAAGGCAAGAGAGGGTCATTGTGTTTGGCGAAGACAAGACATGGGTTTGGAAGAGGCTGGGGATTTGGTCCTTCACATCATCTTGTCTGAATTGGGTCCCGAGGGCTCCGCTAGAGTGTCCTGTGTGAGCAAGCGCCTTAGGGTTTTTGCCTCCGAAGATTCCCTCTGGTCACTCTTCTGCTTTCGCGACCTCAATCTCTCCACGCCTCTCGATCCCCATGGAAACCTTTCTCCTTCCTTCAAGGTACTTCTTTTCTTCTTTTTTTGGCATTTCTGATTCTGGGTTTTTTTTTTTAATTTGCCGTGTAATTCGTGAATTTGGTTGAATTCGGCTCCTCTTTCGTTCCATTTCTTTGAAGACGTTCGTTCTTCTTGGTTCTATGTTTTGATAAGTTCTAGGTCATGTCCGCCACTTATAAACAATTCAAACACGTTGACAGTTTGGCATCTTCGCCATGATTGGTTGACCTTTGCGGTGCTGTGAGTTTGTTTCCTTGTATCGATGGACGGTCTCGAATCAAAATCCATTCTGAATTAACTGATTAAGACAGGACTCTTTATGTGAACGGTCATGTCCTATCATCCGTGTTGTTGTTGTCTTTTAGCGGATGGTACATACGTACATACATACATACATACTGACTTTTCAGCACATCACCGTTATCTCCAAGTTTCTTGTGCTTGACATGATGGTTCCATGATACATTCTTTATGTCTATTTGACCGTACTAAAGGAGAGAAAAATTGCATTCTATATGTTCTTAGACTGAATGTTATCTAATTCTTCAGGCGGCATATCTATCATGGAGGGAGGCTTTCGGGATGTACCCTTGGACTCTGGTTAAACGGGTTAACCGTTGTTGGGGCAATCTCAAAAGCTGGTTGAGTATAAACTTCCCCGAAGCAGAGGCTACATTGAAAAAGGGCGCCACAGAAGCCGATATTCATGAGTTGGAGAGTGCTCTGAAAGTGAAACTCCCGCTTCCGACAAGGGTTCTCTACCGTTTCTTCAACGGCCAAGAGTTCAGCTGCCAGTCTCTGGGTCTTATAGGTGGCTATTCGCTTTATTCTCACGTGGTTAATGTCTCCTTGCTGCCTCTTGGGGGCGTGATTAAAGAAACGAAGGAAATCATCCGCCAGCTTGGTTTCTCGAGGAGATCGAAGTATATAGTTGTGGCGGTATCATCCACATTCAATTTCAAAGTCTTTTTCCTCAACTGCGCTAATGGGCAGCTTTATGTCGGGACGAGGAATTTAGTGACGGAAGGGGAAATGCTTCCATGTGTGCCCGATTCTCTGATAAGGTCGGTCCACGATGTTAGTGGCGAACAGCAACAGGATGGGATGCTGCTTTGGTTGGAAGAACATGTCCGCCGATTACAAAATGGCACCATAAAAATCCGTGAACAGGAAAACACCAAAACTATCAGTTTGTTCCCGGAGATTCCTCCCTTGTGTTCTGTTGCTGCGACAAACGGTGTGCAGGTAAGTCGTATAAACCGGGGTATCATTCAAGGTTTCATCTTTTGCGTCTTTTGTATCTGTTGGCCGTTGAAGTTGCTTCTGATTCTGGTTTTAGCGTCAGTAGGTATTAGGCTGTGTGATTTCCCCCTTAAACTCTGTGCTGCAGGTCCGTGCATCATCGGTTTTTATTCCCGAGGTAGCTGATCTGCAAAGCGAAACGCAGAAATACTGGTACGCGTATACAATCCGCATGTCTCTCCTGCCGGAAGGCTGCATCTTAAACGGGATACACCATAGTTCATGCCAACTGCATATGAGACATTGGCTTATCCGTGCCAATAATGCTATAATAGATGATGTCAATGGAGAAGCTGTCATAGGAATGGTATAATAATCTCTTTTGCCACTAGCTACTGTATTTTGATAAAGAACGGTTTTGTCTTGTCTTACCGTATATACGAACATCATAACGTGATCTGTGGAATTATAGTACCCTTTCCTTCGAGCCGGATCAGAGGAATTCGTGTACGAGAGTTGCTCCAGCCTTCCTGCTGCTTCTGGTTCGATTGAAGGCTCTTTTACATTTGTGCCCGGAAGGTATACCCTTCTTAACAATATGATACGTATCTGCACTTAACCTTGTTTAGGCCTTTGCCCTCTTTCCACTTTTTATAGAATCTAAGTGTACTGTTTGCTTTGTGATCAAACTTTGGACTTGACACGATAAGACCACCTCGTAGTTTTTGATATTTGTTCTTTGATTATATTATCGATCTCTTATCGGGGTTTTGTTCTTTTTGGTTATTGTAGTCTGACAGATCCAAAAGGCGGTCCATTCGAAGCGAAGGTGGCGGAGTTTCCCCTCCAGCTGCCGGATTACATTTTCTAGCATAATCTTGGGTCATGATCCTCATCGTCATCGTCCGTACTGTGTGGCTGTGTGCTTAAACAAGGCCAACAATGGCGGTTTGCGAGTACGTTTGTTTATGATTCTGCAGTTCTTGTGGTCGACTCGTAATTCTTACTACAATAAGATAAATCGAAGTTACATTTCGAATACGTTCGAGGATATATATATATAGTTTGATAAACTGATAAACTGAAGGCTTTCGGAAGAAACAGATTCAATTGAACTAAATTTCATCACGTATATGCTTGTCTCAATAATGTTCTTAGCTCGCTCTTGTGTTAAACCACGGCAAGAAGACCATCGAGTGGTCGTCACGACAACAGCTTAAACTAGTTGATACATATAGAACACCGTCTCGAGATTTCGAAAACGTAGATATATAGTTAAGTAGATATATGAGAGTCGATTATATAGGAAGACCTTTTGTAAATATAAGCATCCTCGTCAACGGACCAAAGCCATGCGACGTAGCTGAGCTTGCGAGGGCAATTTCACGTCGGTGGCCAACCCGACGGTCTCGAGAAATCGGATGATATACCAAGAGATGTCGACCTGCCACCACTCGAGGCCTTGTCTCGCCGACGACTCGAACGCGTGGTGATTGTTATGCCAACTCTCCCCGAATGAAAATACCGACAACCACCTGCATGTATATGGGTACATAAACATATGTACTATACGAATAAGATACGTATATATGTACGTAAAAGTTACGGAAGAGGGTACGTAATATATAATACCAAACGTTACGAGAAGTGTCGTTGGTCTTCCAAGCACGATTGCCCCAAACATGGCAAAGCGAGTTTATAAGACAAGTCACGTGATGCTCGAGGACTATCCCGATACCCTGCATGCATGCCACCCATAATATTGAAAAATCAATAACATATTTAATTTAGAATTGTTGTTATATATATATACTCCCTCTGTTTCACTTTATCTGAGATCTTAGATATTTTTTGTTGTTGTTTATATTATGTTTTGTTTTTCATTTTTCTATTCATATTGTTTGTCTTTTTTCCACCAAACTTACCTTTATATAAACGTCAATAATGTTACAAAATATTTAATAATCTTAAAAAAAAAGAGAGTGACGTTTAAGGTAACTAATTTCTTTTATATTTCTCTACGCAAATATAAATTGGTATGAAAAATGTGCTTCACATTAAAAAACGTGGTATATATTTGCGGACCCAAAACATTTTATGAATGGGGCCACTAATGTATATACATATAAGTTTATAAGTATAAACTTCATTTTATTGGGGGTAATATAATAATTTTATATAAAATTTATGAAGAAAACAATTTTTTTTCTACAAGTTGTGGGGGCTGACCCCATTATTGATCAAATGGGTCCGCCAATGTGTATGATAGCATGCCATCACATCACATCGCCCGACGTTATATTTACAGAGATTTGAAGTCCATAGGTCAAGCGTGCGCGTATAATATACGTTTTGTTCTTTCCATTTCCGGTAAGAAGAAAAAAAAAGGGATAAATACCATTCCCCATGCAAGGAAGGGGAAACCGCCCCACGAATAGAGGAGGACACCAAACCCTAAAATGTGGAATATGACCGTTCTCTGAAGAAACCTATAGAACCACTGCCGCTTCAAGTCCTCTACGTTGCTGCGCCTCCCACACTGTGATCCCAAACAAATGATTACACATTTTAATCATTCGGTTTTGTTACAAAGATTGCGAAAATGCAACATATATACACATATATATAAATATATATGATATCCTTATGGAAATGCCACCTTTTGTACAACATAAGCAGCGTCGAATAGCCATAGAATGTGGCTGAACCAAAACCCTTCGATAGGGCTATGCGGGTCGCGGTCGGAATCCGTAAACTGATGATGGTACCGGTGAATGCTCACCCAATCGATTGGATCTCCCTACACAAGAAAACAAAGCGAAAGTTTGGGAAATAGCACGTACGAAATATATACACATCTTTGCATATACAATATACAATCTAAGTGAGTAACGAGATTAGTATCGATTAGAAAGACGAGTCGGTCCAAAAGGCTTTTAGCTATGCGTACCTGAAGAGCGAGGAGGCCACAGTAAGCAAAGAAATACTCGAGCCATTTCGGAAGCTTGTAGCTTCGATGAGCCAAGTTCCGATGGTACGACACCGTGATTCCGAGTCCGCCCACCGTGTAGACCGCGAGAGCTAGCCGAAGAGCTCGGCGGTTGAAGTGAAATGGCGCCAAGAGACAGAGGAAATGCACGAACAAGAACATGGAGGCCTTTACGACATCCAACCTCTTCCACTTTCTTCCCCAAAATGCCCTCCTCTCCGACATCATTCTCTCTGGTTTCTCGCTCGTGCCCACCATAGAGAACTTGGCGTATAACGTCGTGGTTCGGATAGTAACTATTATGGATGTGGGTTTTATAGGTAATAAATGAAATTAATTACAGTCCATGGGTTAGTTAACAGATGACTCGGTTAAAACGGACGGACCACTTGATATATATAGGAATAAAAAAATTGATTGCAGTTGGGACGTAGCCGGTGAGACCTTATCAAATTTATCATGTCACAATGCTCGATATTGACTCCTCATACCATGGTCCGATATTTATATATATGTACATATTTTTAAACTCTCATTATGGTTTCTCGAGATGGACGAAATTCAGTTGGTGGCAATTAAGATCCATTTTAAATTAGTTTTGTAGTTATATTACTAATAACTAGGTATTTTTCTCTAACACATAATTAATTAATTAATTTCTTACAGGGCTTTAATTTTGTTTTGCTGCTTTTAATTAATTGCCCGATAGCGAGTCCAGAAATGGTGGTCCGGTGGTGTGGGAGCACAAGGTGTTCTCCCACACTTCGGGTTCGAATACCACCGGGACAATCACCAATATCAAAAGAAAAATTAGCCAATAACGAATGTGAATGCACATTTAAGTTAATGAATGCTAAACAACAAGAAGATTTGACAATTTCCTTACTCATGCAAATATATATACCGTGGGTGGTGTTGCTTTCGTCAATTGATGGTGAATTGGACCACATTTTCTTCTTCAATTTTTTTGCCCCCGACTTTTTGACGATTGCAAAAGTGGGTTTGCCTTTTTCTTTTTTTTTTAAAAAAAAAAATCAGGGTGGGAGTTTTTGTTTTTATAATTCAAAAGTTAAAAAAAAAATCAAAATTTCACTATCTTTATCAGTTGAGTCACCTTGTAATAATTAAGGATTAGGATTGAAAGCTAAGTACACACGTTTTATTACCTCATCAAGTCGATGTCTTTTTCCACCTCGCAAATCCTAGGAATTATAATTCCGTGTCCAAATTCTTATCCATTAATACGGTGGGTATATATTTAAGAGTTTTGTCCACTCATCAAGTGGACCACGTACGTGTGTTTTTTATGATCGAACAGTAATTAACGTCCTGATTTCTTTTGTCGATCATACTAGAATGGTAACAATAGTTTTTAAAATAACACAAGTTATTTTATTAAAAAAAATTAAAATCATTAAGGTAGTGTACTGTATACGCGGTACAATCGTCGGTCCACAAAAACAAGATATTTTATTTGATCCAAGAAACGTCTAATTTGTAATCATGATAGCAGCAAGACAATAAATATTCCCTCCGTTATATCGTTTTAGATTTTTTCATAGTTTTTTAAAAAATATAAAAACAAATCACATATAACCACATTTCATATTTTATCAATGATTATGAAGTTAAATATTTTTTTAATTATGAATAAAATTAGAATATTTCTTATAAAAAAACAACTAGAATTTAAAATCTAAAACGATATCTATTAAGGTACAAATAAATATTCTATTAAACGACAACTAATCAGAAACAGAGGGAATAACCGATTATAATCCATGTAATAAATATCTTTACTGACGGCTGACTCGGTCAATTTATTTATTGTATATTTTACGTCATTTAAACATAAAATTTTCGCTTGCATAACACATGTAAATTTTAAACTGGTACTATAAGGATGAGATTGGGATCGAATATCGGACAAATATTTTGCATGTTCAATGAATTAGAGCCATCCTCCGTATCTGGGAGTTGGTCGGGAGCTTCACGTCGGTGGCCAATCTGACAGCCTCGAGGAATCTAATGACGTACCAAGTGAGGTCTATCTGCCACCACTCGAGGCCGTGCCTGGCTGATGACCCGAATGCGTGGTGATTGTTGTGCCAACTTTCGCCGAACGAGGATACGCTCAGCCACCTGAATATCCATTTCAGTTTTTTCTCTTAGTTGATTTCATAAACTCGAAACAGAACAATGCATGTCTTGGTCCATAAATTACATTTTCTTACTTAAACTATAAATGGAGAGACATGATGTGATATCATGATCATGAATGTTCATGTATATGATCCATTTACATGGGTATTTCATTTAGAAATGTATTCATAAGAATGAATTGCAAAAAGGGTACAATACCAAACGTTGCGAGAGGTGTCGTTGGTCTTCCAAGCTCGGGATCCCCAAACATGGCATGCTGAGTTTATCAGCCAAGTCGTGTGGTATCCGAACGTGATACCGACGCCCTATACAATAAAATCTTGTATTAGAAAGTATGTAAGATATATATATATATATATATATATATATATATATAGCTATCGGTTTGTAACGAATGGAAATATTAATTAAGATATTAAAAAAAAGAATATAAATATATTTTACCATGCCCCATGCAACGCAGGGAAACCCACCCCAAAAATATAGGGTGATCGAAAGCCCTAAGACGTGGAGACCAAGGGTCCTTTGAAGGAATCTGTAGAACCATTGCTGCTTCAAGTCTCCCACATTGTTACGCCCTCCACACTGTTCGAATATATTAATATATATGTATATCAAATCATGCTTTGAACGTGACAGTTCGTGTGTATATTTATATGATAATTAGGATATGGATCACTAATTTAATAAGTGATTGCCTTTTCTCTTATGTACTCGGTGTCAAATATCCATATGAAGTGGCTGAACCATAATCCTTCGAGTGGGCTGTGTGGATCACGATCCGAATCAGTGAATTGGTGGTGGAAACGATGGACGCTTACCCAATCAATTGGATGACCCTAGAACACAATTGCTTTGCACATTAACAAAATACGGACTTACATTTTACATTTTCACTTAAAAAATAGAGAGAATGAATAATTGGCTGACCTGAAGAGCGAAAAGGCCGATATAAGCGAAGAGATACTCAAGCCATTTCGGAAGCTTGAAGCTTCGGTGAGCCAAGTTCCTATGGTAAGACAGCGTAATGCCGAGTGAAACCACGGGGTAAAGCGTCAAACTGAGCCTGAGGGCTTCCCATGTGAAGTAAAATGGCGCCAAGAGACAAAGCAAATGCGAAGATGCGACCGTCAATGTCCTTATAACATCGATCCGCTTCCACTGTCTTCGGAAGTAAGGTCTCCTCTTTCTGCTCATCTTTTCATTCAACGACGTCTTTCCCCTACTGTAATCTCCCCCTTCTTCTGACTGTAATCTTTTCATCAGGCGTGGCTGCGTGAACTTTTGACGGGTTGAATGAACTGAGGAAATCATGAATCAGTGTTAGTTTTAATTGTATTTCCAGGATTTGAGATATCTCGATTAATTTGGTGAGGCTTAGTTGCTTTCATATGCCCGTTTTTGTGCGTACAATATGGTACCTTGCGGGGGTTATCGTGTTCTTCGGTGTACTTGTGTAATAATTAAGACATTTCGTACACTCTACAACGTGGGGTGTCTCGCGAGGTAGTTTGTACTTTGTATATGCACAAGCAGTTACATAAAGTTCCATGTCAATACATATATTTAAGAGTTTGTGGACCCTAAACTCATATATAGCGACGTCCTGGTTTCTTTCTCAATCACTTGCATTATCTAATGGAATAGTGAAATGGCGTTGAAAATAATAAAAATGTTATTATTAAAAACAATTATATTGTTTTATTAATCAAGCTAAAACTTCATGAAATGTAAATCAATAGACATTACATGCTAAGTAGACGGAACCAAACGCGGTTAGCTCAATTGGGTTTTCTGTTAATTTTAAATGGATCACTATACGTCAGTTTCTAAATTAATTAGCTACACGCGTTCACATAAATTAATTAGCTCAATTGATCTGTGATATTCCATTGCTCCGTGGATGTATATGCATATGTGTGTGCCTGTTTATGCGTATGTATGTATATGCTGAAATAAAAATGGTAAAACAAATATCTTTAAGGTAGTGTACAGATGCACACGCTGAAACACATGGTACGTATCAGCGTGTAAAACGGGTTGGTTCGGTCCGATGTAGTTCGAGTCGTTCCGATTTGGAAAAATTTTAGTCCAATATCCCACCTCGCCCTGTTTTTTAACGAGGCAAAAATAGATCAATCCAAACGAGTTAAAAATAGACCAACCCAATCAAAATCACCTTAGTCCGCGAAATGGGTCCGCCAATGTGTATGATAGCATGCCATCACATCACATCGCCCGACGTTAAATATTAAAAATATTTAAAAATGTTTTAGATATTTAAAAATATTTAAAATATAATAAAAATAAAATTTTAAACAAAACAAACTAAATATTTAATAAAAATATAATTTGTATATAAAAATATTAAAAAAACTATTTTTTTCTAGTCCGCGAGCCAACCCCTGGACTCACGAACTGGCTTTTCACGAGCTTGTCACGAGACGGGCTCGCTCGTTTGGCCCATTTGTTTCTGTGTTCAAATATTCTGAGCCTAACTCGAAAAAATATGAACGAACTTGCCAATCAACTCACAAGTCGGATTCGTTTTACACCCCTAATATGTAGAATCGTCGGTCCACAAAAACAAGATATTTTATATGATTCAAAAAGCAACTAATTTATACTTATGATATCAGCAAGCCAATAAATACTTCGTCTATTTTTCAATACATGTCGTTTTAGATTTTTTCCTGTTTTTAAAAATATATATAAAAAAGTCAGATATAACCTCATTACAATCATATTTTTATTAATGATTACGAAATTAGATATTTTTAATTATAGATAAAATTAGATTTTTTTTTAAAAAAATTGTCTAGAAAATCTAAAATGACATTTATTAAGGTACCGAAAATATTCTCTTAAAAGACAACTAATAAAAAACAAAGGGAGTAACCATATGAATTGTACTCCATGTAATAAATATCTTTATTGACGTCTGACTCAGTCAGTTTATTGATTCTATATCTTACGTCATTAAAACATCAAATATCGTTTGCATAACACGTAAATTTTAAACTGGTACTATAAGGATGAGAATGGGATCGAAATCAGACAAATATTTTGCATGTTCAATGAATTAGAGCCATCCTCTGTTTCTGGGACTCGGTCGGGAGCTTCACGTCGGTGGCCAATCCGACAGCCTCGAGGAATCTAATGACGTACCAAGTGAAGTCTATCTGCCACCACTCGAGGCCATGCCTGGCCGATGACCCAAATGCGTGGTGATTGTTGTGCCAACTTTCGCCGGACGAGAATACGCTCAGCCACCTGAATATAAATTTCAACTTTTCATCTTGTTATCACAAATTCAATATCATGTTTGCGCCAATTGTTTTTTAGATTGACAGTACAGAAGTATAGAAAAACAAGAACCCGAAACAAAACCACTTTTGTCAAATGCATGTCTTGATCCATAAACTTATACAGTTTTTTTTACTTCAACTATAAATGGAGAGGCATATCATCATGACCATGAATGTGCAATTGGGCATGTATATGTTATCCACTTAGATTGGTATTTTCATTTAGAATTGTGCATTATAAGAATGAATTGCAAAGAGGGTACAATACCAAACGTTGCGAGAGGTGTCGTTGGTCTTCCAAGCTCGGGATCCCCAAATATGGCATGCTGAGTTTATCAGCCAAGTCGTGTGGTATCCGAACGTGACATCGACGCCCTATACAATAAAATCTTCTCTTAGAAAGTATGTAAGATATATATATAGCTATCGGTTTGTAATGAATACAAATATTAATTAATATATTTTTTAAAAAAGGAAATATAATATTTTACCATGCCCCATGCAACGCAGGGAAACCCACCCCAAAAATATAGGATGGTCGAAAACCCTAACACGTGGAGACCAAGGGTCCTTTGAAGGAATCTGTAGAACCATTGCTGCTTCAAGTCCCCCACGTTGTTACGCCCTCCACACTGTTCGAATATATTAATATATATGTATATCAAATCATGCTTTGAACGTGACAGTCCGTGTGTGTGTATATATATATATGATAATTAGGATATGGAGACTGATTTAGTAAGTGATTACCTTTTCTCTTATGTACTCGGTGTCAAATATCCATATGAAATGGCTGAACCAGAATCCTTCGAGCGGACTATGTGGATCACGTTCCGAATCAGTGAACTGGTGATGGAAACGATGGATGCTAACCCAATCGATTGGATCACCCTAGAACACAATTTTTTTTTCACATTAACAAAAGACAGATTTATATTTTATATTTTCACTAAAAAAAGAGAGAATGAATAAAAATAATTTGTTAACACTAAATCCGTAAATATAAATGTTTTTACAATAAGGAAAATCCGTGGGTAACATCTCTACGTACAAATAGCAAAGTTCATGATACCAAATCCAAATAAAATCGGAGAGTCATAATAAATAGTTATAGACGTTTAAAAAACCATGACCAAAGAGAGAATGAGTAATTGGCTCACCTGAAGGGCGAAAAGGCCGATATAAGCGAAGAGATACTCGAGCCATTTTGGGAGCTTGAAGCTTCGGTGAGCCAAGTTCCTATGGTAAGACAGCGTAATGCCGAGCGAAGCCACAGGGTAAAGTATCAAACTGAGCCTGAGGGCTTCCCATGTGAAATGAAATGGCGCCAAGAGACAAAGCAAATGCGAAGACCCGACCGTCATTGTCCTTATAACATCGATCCGCTTCCACTGTCTTCGGAAGTAAGGTCTCCTCTTTCTGATCATCTTTTCATTCAACGACGTCTTTCCCATACTGTAATCTTCCCCTTCTTCTGACCGTGAGCTTAGCCTTGCGTTTTTCATCAGGCGTGGCTCGTGAACTTTTGACGGGTTAAATGAACTGAGGAAATCATGAATCAGTGTTAGTTTTAATTGTATTTCCAGGATTTGAGATATCTCGATTTGGGTGAGGCTTAGTTGCTTTCATATGCCCGTTGCGTGTGTACAATATGGTACCTTGCGGAGGTTGTCGTGTTCTTTGGTGTACTTGTGTAATAATTAAGACATATCGTACTGTAAAAATATCATCCACACGAGCCATGCGATGGCCTATCCAATTATCTCGAGAAATCGTATGATATACCAAGAGAATACAGATAACCATCTTCTCGAGGATATTATACGTGTAATCAACTTTAGTATGCAATTGTCTTCCGGAATTTGATTATTAAGTGCAAACGTTCATATGTCTATTTATGTAAACAGGCGTTACGGAAAAGGGTACGTAATAATACCAAACGTTGGGAGTCCTCCAAGGACGATTGCCCGGAACATGACAAAGTGAGTTTATAAGATAAGTCACGTGATACTCGAGGACTATCCCGGCACCCTGCATGCATGCCACCCAAAATTTAACAATCAGTAACATATTTAATTTAGAATTATTGTTATATATATATATATATATGTATATATATTGCATCCCTCTGTTTCACTTTATTTGATGTTTTAATGTTTTTTGTTGTTTATATTTTTTTTCTTCATTTTTCTATTGACATATCTTTTTTTCTTCCAAATTGAATTACATTTCGTATAAAAGTCAGTATAATACAAAAATATTTAATAATGTTAGAAACAAGTAATGGCATTTCATGTAAAGTATAATTGTTCTCAACACGTGCGTACGTGTACGTGAGCTAGTATATAATATATAATAGTCGGAAGTCACTTGAGCGTAGTCTTTCATAAAAATAAAAAAAAAAATAAAAAAAAAAACTTGTTTGGCTAGTCATGCATGGGCCGATTAACTCCCTCCTGGAAAACCCTAGATCGTAGACATTTAGTATCAAATGGAACAACATATTTCTAACAAAAAATCATACAAAATTACAAATTACCTTTACCGGAAAAAACATATTTCTAAAAAAATTAAAGGGGCAAAAATCCAGACATATTGCGGCTATTTTTGACACAAAAGGAATTACGACGATATTTTTAGTAAAAAAGATTTTGAGATCAATGGGGGAATAACGTTGATTCTTTTTTCTCTCTCTCTCTCTTTTTTATATATATTTCACTAAGAAAATATAAATTGGTATGAAAAAAAATGTGCATTAACATTTAAGAAATGCGGATATCATTTGCAACCAACTTACGTTAGTATAGAATAGTACAAGCTCCTTTGGTTATGTTTTAATAGACAAAGCCATGACAAGCGTGCGCGTGTAATATATGTTTTGTTCTTTCCATTTCCGGTAAGAAGGAAAAAAAAGAAGAAAAAGGGGATAAATACCATTCCCCATGCAAGGAAGGGGAAACCGCCCCACGAATAGAGGAGAACACCAAACCCTAAAACGTGGAATATGACCGTTCTCCGAAGAAACCTATAGAACCACTGCCGCTTCAAGTCCTCTACGTTGCTGCGCCTCCCACACTGTGATTCCAAACAAATGATTACACATTTTAATCATTCGGTCTTGTTACAAAGATTGCGAAAATGTAACAAATATATGGTGAGCTTATTCGAAATTTGGATTACACACATAAGCAGCGTCGAATAGCCATGGAATGTGGCTGAACCAAAACCCTTCGATAGGGCTATCCGGGTCACGGTCGGTATCGGTGAACCGATGAATGCTCACCCAGTCGATTGGATCTCCCTATACATCAAAACATATTTTAGCCATGCAGAACGTGTGTGTGTGTATATATATAATCCAAATGAGTAACGAGATTAGTTTTCTCTGTAGTGCTCGTTTTTTGATAAGCAGAATCCAGAGACGAGTCGGTCCAAAAGGCTTTTAGTTATGCGTACCTGAAGAGCTAAAAGGCCGCAGTAAGCAAACAAATACTCGAGCCATTTCGGAAGCTTGAAGCTTCGGTGAGCCAAGTTCCCGCGGTATGAGGCCATGATACCGAGTCCGCCCACCGTGCAGACCACGAGAGCTAGCCGAAGAGCTCGGCGGTTGAAGTGAAATGGTGCCAAGAGACAGAGAAAATGTACGAAGAAAAACGTGGAGGCTTTGACAACATCCAATCTCTTCCAATTTCTTCCCAAAAATACCCTCCTCTCCGACAGTGACATCGTTTTCTCAGGTTTCTCAGCCGCGCCCATCTTAGAGAACTTGAGTTTCACTTTCGTGGTTTGGGTAATAAACTATTATATGGGATGTGGTTTTATAGTGATTATGTGAAATCAAATGCATTTCGTGGGTTAGTTAGTTAACGCATGATTCGTTCCAAATGGACATCCACTTGATCAGAATCAAGGTGGTTGGGACGTCATCAGTAAGATCTAAACCAATTGACGTGTCACCACGCTTGTAATCGACTACTCGTACTTCGGCACGATTTTTGTATATTTTTTTTGGTCGGTGGTAATTAAAATTCATTTTAAAGTGGTGCTGCCCAACCACAAGGCCACCCCACTCGAGTTATGTTATTTTCTTATGTGACTAATTAAGACTTTCAATTTAAGAGTTTTTTTTGGGAATTTTAAAATCCAAAAACTAAAAGAAAATTAATAATCAAGTTTTTATAAAATTAGTTTTTTTTAAAAAAAAAAACTTGAAAAACCATTTTGATTAAAAAAAATGAACTATTATCATTCAAAGTCCAAAGTCTAAGTAATAGTTTAAACCCAAAAAAAAAAGTCTAAGTAATAGCGAATATGAGAGTTATGTAACTAACCAAGGCTAATCAATAAGAAGATTTGACAATTTTGTTAATTATATATACTCCTGTAATGTATATATACTAAGTAGTTCACAGTATGATCCATGTCATTTAATACCCTTTTTTTTCACCCATCATTTTGATGCATAAACAGCTACGTTACAAAATTTGTTTATTTCTTATTAATTAACAAACATACAATTGAACAATATATATAAGATAAAAAAATTCAAATAACAAAACGGCCCCACTATTTCAATAGGCAATCAATGTATTAATCATTTTAAAATTAATATTTAACTAATAACCACAATTGTACTTCAGTTTTTCATGTGCTGAAGTTGATTAGATTCAACGAATTTTAGGTATTAGTTAGATGTCTAAATAACCATTAACATATGTGGTAGGTAGTATGTAAGAGTTTGTGGACTAGTGATGTCAAAATGAGCCAGGCTTTGGCTCGTTTTTTATCGAATTGGACCGAAAAAATAAAAGACCAAATAAAAACGGGCCGAACGAGCCTGCTCGCGACGAGCCCGAGCCCATCCGGGCTAGCTCGCGAGCTGACATTAAAAAAATATTAGGGTTTCATACTTTAATTTCTTCACTTCTTATGTTTATATAGCAAATTAAAATTCATGATATGTTGATGTTGGTGTATATTTTTTGTTATATTTTGATGTTGTTGGTGTATGAAATTTTTTATATTGATGTTGATGTATATTTTTTGTTATATTTTGATGTTGTTAGTGTATTACACTTTTTTATGTTTGTTTGGTTTTGTTAATTTTTTTTTAATTTAGATATAGTTTTATGGATTGTTATGTTAAATATTTTATGTTATATTGTATGACTTCAAAATATTGTTACGTAGACTTTAAATGATTAAATTTTTATATAAGTTTTAAAAAATTTCGAATAATTAGATAAAAACGGGCTGGCTCGCGAGCCGGCTCGGAGCTCGGACAATTTGGTATGGGTCAGAGTTTTTCTAGCTCGTAAAAAAACGGGCCGAACGGGCTGAGCCAAAAATGAGCTGGCTCGAGACGAGCCGGTCCGGGCCGGTCCGAGCCAGCCCGCTTTACATCACTATTGTGGACCGGTTATCTGATTATGACCATAAACTAATATAAAGCGACGTCTTGGTTTCTTGGCCAATCACGTAAGTTATCTAGGAGTGGCTTAATCGGTTTTGGATCGGGTTCGGTTAGATTATTTTAGAGTTCAGTTATTTCGGTTTTAGAACAATTATAACCGTACGGTTCTTATATTGATTTCGGTTCAGTTCGGTTCGGTTATATTCTGTTATGGTACAGTTCGTTGTGATAAAAATACTCATTTTCTTAAAAAATATTTATAGTTTTTGGGATTATTTTTTATTCGGTTAGGTTTTACATCTAATTCAGTTCGATTATAGTTATACATTATTCGGTTCGGATCAATTCGGTTATTAGCCAAATAAGTCACCCTTATAGTTATCTAATAGAGCATTAATATAACGTTTAAAATAATAAAAATGTTATTATTACAAAAATTATACTATTTTATTAATCAATCAAAAACTACACGAAATATAAATGTGTAATTAATTTTGTGGTTATAATAATTAATATGCGTATATGAATATGTAAAATTTTTCAAAATTTATTATTATTATTATTTTTATTATTATTAATTAATATTATTAAATATTAAGGATTGATGATGTAGCATGTACGACTAGGATGCAATGTTAGTATTAAATAATATTTTTTTTTTTCGTTCAGGTTTTTATTTGCCAATTTTTAAAAGTATAAGGTTTTTTTGGATAAAAAAATAAAGAGTTTAAATTGCGATGAGAGAAAAGTATAGAGTTTTTTTAGGGATTACCCCTAATATCTTTATTGATAGATGAATCCACTTTATATTTTATTTGAATTTATATTCTACATCATTAAAACATTAAATATCGTTTGAATAAATAACGCGTAAATTTTAAATAAATTCTATAAGGATGAGATTGGGATCGAATTCGGACAAATATTTTGCATGTTCAATGGATCAGATTCAGAGCCATCCTGCGTTTCTGGGACTCGGTCGGGAGCTTCACGTCGGTGGCCAATCCGACAGCCTCGAGGAATCTAATGACGTACCAAGTGAGGTCTATCTGCCACCACTCGAGGCCATGCCTGGCCGATGACCCAAATGCGTGGTGGTTGTTGTGCCAACTTTCGCCGAACGAGAATACGCTCAGCCACCTGAATATCCGTTTCAGTTTCTCCTCTCGATATCACAAACTCAATATCATGTTTTTCTTGTGTATGTATGCTTTCCATTTAAGCCCGATTTATGTTCAATAATAGATTAGTATTTTCATTTACAATTATTGTGCATAAGAATGAATTGGAAAGAGGGCACAATACCAAACGTTACGAGAGGTGTCGTTGGTCTTCCATGCTCGGGATCCCCAAATATGGCATACTGAGTTTATAAGCCAAGTCATGTGGTATCCGAACGTGAGAGCGACGCCCTACAAAATAAATCTCGTCATTCACCATCAAATTTGTCATGCATACGCACATATACGTACATGAATACGTACATGTATGCATGCCTGTCTACGTGTGAGTACAAATAATTTCTAGAGTCTGAATTAATGCGGGACCAGTCAGAATGACGTCTGAACGTCCACTTTGATTATGCCTAAAAAGGGGATACCAGACCGCTTTTAATTTCGTCAAGCTTTAGCATATATAGAAAGTACGTAATATATATATATATATATATATATATATATATATATATAAAAAATATAGATAT